GTGCCTGCTGGGACAAATGTGGCTGGAGGGAGGATTCACTTTCAATACAGTTTCTTTATGATTTATCCGTTCTGACCTATCTCTTTCTCCACACAGCATTTCCCCCTCTAAGGCTACTCCATGTGGCTTAGGTTTCTCACAGCCTGTTTCCCCAAGCATGATATCCTTCAGGGACTGGCCCCCAAGTATGTGAAATGAAGTCTTATCCTCCTGGCTTTGAAGGAACACCTCAACTACTCTTCTTCCAAGACATTTATTTGTTCTTTTGGCAGTTTAGGAAATAAGGCAGTTCTACTCCATTACACAGGATCACTTTGGATTTGACTCAACAATGTATTACACACAGGAGGAGACTGTACGTCTTTCCTTTTCAAGCAGCTGGTGGATTTGAACCTCACACCTTTAAGATGGCAGCTTAGTTTCTTACCACTAAGCCACTAGAGTTTCCTTTAATAAATAAATAGGAGCAAAGGCAAAAGAAGGTCATGTGAGATGGGTGATATTATTTCATCACTTTTGAAAATAAGATGTGGCAGAAGTGAGGAGACCATGCCAGTAATTTAGGCAATAGTTGATTGTGACTTAGATTTAAATGAGAAAGAGGTGGATTCAGAAAAACAGTTGAGCAGGATATATAAGAACAGTAACTGATGTGTCTGATCACCATAGAACTGAATCACTTTATAGGAGTACATGAATATATAAAGTGAGTCACAACTAACTCAGTGTCCTAAGGACAAATACTGTGTAAGACCGTTATTGTAGAAGTAGAAAGATAACCAGCAAAATGTGTACGAGGATCCAAGGGGAGAGGGTGGGAACAGAGATGGGAGGATGGGCAGGTGGGAAATCATAGGGTCACACAATTTGGTGGGTAGAAAGAAGGGGCAGAAAAAGGAAATGGGAACAATCTGGCAGGGGATCTGGAAGGACTAATGGTGGGCATAGGTGAAAGGCAGTTAATTTTATAAAATATAATAAATGGGAATGATACCATGAAACATAAATGATACTGTGAAACACTATGTATATACACTTTGTAAGCAAACCAATACTAAATAAAAAATTTTTTAAAGCTTTAAAAAATATATTACCCACAAAGAGAGTCAAAGGTAGTGAAAAATACAAAGACAAAAAATATATATGAAAAGACTTTGAAAATTGCACTTGAAATTTTAGAGGAAGGGAAAGAATTCTCTTGAGGAGTAGCAGTCCTTATTGGTCATTGTAAAATGCAGTGTAAAGTCAGCTGGGGAAAGGGGGTGGGAGAGAGTCCCAAATAAATCTGTGCTATTAAAAAAGACACATACATCAGTACTATCGTGCTTCAAATGTGCTTTCTTTTAAAGCATGAATTATAGTTCAATAAAGCCCAGGTATCAGGGCATACAGTGAGATGACAGTGTGGATCTCCAGATGCTGAGAGAGCTTCAAGAATCACTAGGTCTTGTAACCAGACGCACTTAAAAGAGTATAGTAGTTTAACAACATCACATTTCTAAGGCTACATGCAAATAACTGAATTTACCCGTGAAAAGACCTGAGCAGTTTTCACTTTATACATTCAGTTACTTGAGAAAACAAAACTTTTGAGATATAGGAGTCCACACACCAAAGTGCAGCAATGAATGAATGGAAATCCAAAATCTCTGTAAATGTTCATTAGAATTACTAAAAAAATGAAAATAATTTTTTTTTAAAAAAAGGGAGGGAGAGGTTTTTAATGAGAAAAAAGGTTGGGAGTTAACATCTTATTTTAACATAGGAGAGAACAATCCAGAAACTTATTCAGTTACCCAGCAAATTAGTGGCAGAGCCTGTGATAAAAGGCTTGTGTCTTGATTCCAGTCAGGGATCCTTTCCACTGCACCATCTGCCATTCTTTCCACAGCATAAGTTTGTATGGTAGGATATTCACAGTGGTCCCTTGACACTGCCCATCTGACTTTCAGAGAGTGTGAGGAGGCAGGGAGAACCGAGGGTGGACAAATCCAATCTACTCCCTCTACTGGAAAGATAACTTAAATATGCCTTGTTAAGCTTGGCTCGGCCGCTTCTCTTTGAGGTAATGGACTGTGCTGCTAAATACCCCAAAGATTATTTATAAAATTAACTAAATATCCAAGTTTCTGAGGTCAACACAAAAGCACTCAGTTGTTAATTCTTGACCAAAAAAAGAAGCTCAATATCACCAGGTTAATTTAGGCTGAAAAAATGAGGAGTAGCAGAGTCTTTGCTTTCTCTCTCTCCGTGTGTGTGTGTGTGTGTGTGTGTGTGTGTGTGTGTGTGTGTGTGAGAGAGAGAGAGAGAGAGAAATTACTGACTGCTGTGCAGTGGCTTCCAACTCCTAGCAACCCTCCATTGAATTTCCTAGACTGTCAATCGCAATGAAAAGAAACAGCCCATCCTTCTCCTGAGGAGCCTCCAGTGGATTCAAACCACCAGTCATGGGAAGCCTGATGGTTAGCAGTAAAAATAAACAACCTAAATTTAAAATAAAATTAAAAAAATTCTCACTACAGACTATGCCACCAGATCACCCCATATAGATCATATGATGAACATATATATAACAAAAGAAAGACATCTCAACATTGTCATTGTATACAACAAACAGTATGTAATTAAAAAAAAGACATATCAACATTATGTGTACAGAAGTCATGGTTTTGTTTTTATTTTCACAGCATTTGATGTGGAGTTCATTTAGATCTGGATATAATATATATGTTCTAAATATCATCATTTAATTCTTTTATCATTTAATTCTTAATGACTTTGGGCCTTTTTGGTGTTTTATTCTCTAGAGTCACAGGTTATTATTAGGTGCTATTTAATTTATTATTTTTTTAAAACTCATAATGACCCCATGTAACAGACTAGAGCTGCCCTATAGAGATTTTTTAGGCTATAGTTTTTATGGGCACAGAACACCAGGTCTCTCACTCATGGAAGGAACAAAGGGGTGGGTTTGAGCATTTTGGCTAATAGCCAAGTGCTTAATCTTTGCTCCACCAGGTTCTACTTTATAGTCACATTAAGTAGATATAATTTGATTTTACTTAATAACTGAATATTTATTGTGATTAGAATCAGCACTTGCACCTCACCTTCTGTATTAATGGAATAATGTCAATGTTCCCAAAGTTCAGGGTTTTCTGTTAAAGTTTGTTTCACATTTGAGCATTTTTGGACAAATATTGCCTCCCCTCACACTTAAAAGATCCATAAAGAATTGCTCCTTGATCTCTGTGTAAAAAGCAATTTGTTGGACTAGGGGGTTGAATGGTAATCCCCTCAGGACTGGTGCCTGCGAGTGTGTAAATCGTGCCTGTGGATTTAAATGTCTGTTTAACAAGATTTTAGCACATAACTATCATTATATTTCATGTGTTATAATTACAATGACAAGTATAACTGCATCTGAGATTGGGCCAGGTTGTAGTTAAACTCCCAAATACCTTCAATGCTGTATGCCTCAGGCAAGAAAAAAAATGACTACTCAGACAGTACAAGCTGTAATATCTCAGACAAGACATTGTCAAAATCAAGAGTGAAGACTTCCAGCCATAGCCCTTACCATCACGTACATATATTATTAACCTTTATGTATTTATAAAAGGCTTCAAAATAGGTGCTTATACCGGGTTTTTCTGGTAATTCTTCATTAGCGTATCAATTCTAAACTCTATTGAAAAAAAACAATTACCTTAACAGGGCCCCAAAGCTTCCAGTCTCCCTCTTTAAAACCCTTTCATTTATTGCCTGATATTTCAAGTACACTTTCAACCAAGTGCGTTATTAAAATATTTCACGGTGGATTTGACCAGGAACCTATAGGGACGATGAAAGGAAAACGTCTCTCTGTAAAATGTTAACCTTAACCCCAGTACCTCTATAGACGTAGATTCTTTTAACACAGGTTACCAGTATTTTCACAGGAACAATGTCTTGACTTCTGGACCTGTGATTTAAGTCCTTTTCTTTAGGAACATCCTGCCACTAGCCTTTGACATTCTGCATAGTCAACTTCAGCTTTTCCCTTCCTCCATCAAATATGCTGTTTGTTGTTTAGTGCTGTCAGTTCCAACTCAGCAACCTCATGTGACAGAGCAGAACTACCCAACAGGGATTTTTTTGACCCTAATCTTTACTGAACTGCTAATTTTTCTGCTGGCAGCAGGAGTGCTTAACTTTTATGGTTTATCAGGGCTCCTTCCATTACAATAAGTATGATATAAAAAGCAAAGGGGGATGGGATAGCCTGGGCTTCATTGTTGAAAAAGTACTTGAAATTCTTTGCATTCCTTTGCATTTAACAGCATGTTTGCTTAATCACTGGCTTATTAGGATTAACACAAATCATTGCTTCAAACTCATTTAGTGAAAACAAACTCACTTCAATAGATTTCCAAGAAGATTTCTCTGATCCCGGACAAGGGTGAATTCTAAGTGGCTTTGTTATTTTTGGGGAATATTGGAAGCTATAAAATGATAACCAAGTGTCTCTTCATCACATATTATACAGTCTGTCAGTTTTGCCATAGATTTAAATAGAGACAGCCTACACCATAAGCCTTTCATCAGTGTTTTTCTCTTCTACCAAAATAATCTGTGCAATAACCCTCCAACTTAAAATAATGAATGAATCTTTTCTATCTCCTTCGTGAGGTGATCGTGGACAAAGAGCCTTAGGCTTTAGATTCTTAGAAAAATAAAGTTTATTTTAAATCACAAATTTGTTCCAGATTCTTTGTTACTATCTCCAGTATTTAGTATAACATCTGGTACCTACTTAACACATGGCTCTAAGACAGATTACATGTGAAAGTTTTTCTTTACTGATGAAATAAATATCATTGGCCAATTTTTCTGTAGGTAATTAGTTCAGTGCTATGTCCCAAGCATTTGAACAGTTTTCGGATGAACCTCTATGAGCTAGATTGTTCCAATGACTTTGGACTGTTTTGAAAAGAAGTACTGAATGGCAAACACTGTAGTATTAGGTAAATATTTCTTTATTAAATGATTAATTCCATAAATAAATTCTTTTCATTGAATATAAAATTAAAATCATTTACAAATTATTCCAGTATTACATTTCTCCCCCCCAAAAGAAGCTACATTTAGATAAATAAAAACATTCAATCTTAAAAACACCTGATTTCTGTTTGCAGTTTAGAGCGCAGCTGCCTCTCAGTCACTCACGGAGTGTCATCTCAGGAAGGGATGGATTACTCTCCAATTCTGCCAAAGACTTTAATGGTCTAGCTAATCTTATTATCTTTTACAACTGAAGAACTGAAGGATAAAAAGTCTTGGGGGGAATACATTGACCAAATAATTTACAAACAGAAAACAGAAATCATCAATACAAGCTCCAAAATGAAGCAGTAACATGTGCTCCAGTACTATGAAGCAAAGAATTCTCAAATCGCGGCTGCATCAGGGTCCCTCGGCATCATCGTATGTGGCCATTTCAAAACACCTCAGTACTTACTCAAGAATGAGTAATGCATTCCCTCTACAACAGAGTCCCTCCACCCAAACCGCCCCCACCCCATCTCTCCGTGATTCTGGCAGCATACTCCCTTGGTTGTGCACCCTTGCACTGGAAGCCCAGCTAGCATTTAGTCCCTAAATTTGTGAATGTCGTTGAACAGCCTGTAGAAAGGAAAGGCCGCCTCATTGGCATGTGGGCAGTTATAGTTGCATCTGCAAGACTGAATCATCATGACATTCTTGGAGAACATCTCCCCATCTTCACAGCGGAATCGCATCTTCACAGTCCTGGTCTGCTGGGGTGTACAGCACCGGCCATCTACACAAGAACCACAGTACTTGGGCCGGTACTTCTTCACACTAGAACACCCTGCATAAGTAAACTTGACTGGTTCTGGGGATTTTCTGGTCTTGCTGCATTTCTTGCCCTTCTGTAAGAAAGGAAGAAAAGTTAAGAATATTCCTTGTTCTTGAAGGAGAAGTTCACATCCTCCACCCACCTGCTGAGAAACAGTCTCAAGTCACCAAAGGAACTTACTTTCAGGCTGCTGTACACCGACTGTCCACAAGGCCGCACTTCACAGATCCGAGTTTCTTTAACTAGGCGGCATTCAGGGTTGTCATTGGTAACTCGTGTGGAGATTCCAGTCCCACAGGTCTTTGAGCACTGGGACCATGAAGTTGTCTGAACGATACACTTCTGGCCATGCAAAGTAGGATTGTACAGGATGTGAGATTCCAGTCCAAAAACTAGAGCAAGAAACAAGAAGGAAGATTCACTTAGAGGCACATCACAGAAACATTCGGAAATGCTTTTTCAAAGAAGTTTTAAACTAGCTTCAAGGTCTTACAAGCAGTTGCTCTACTTACCAGGGAGCTGCTTCAGCAAGCCGCTTTTTCCAACTGCAATTAATTCATTGTTCCGAGTTAACTCCACCTCTGAGGCATCCAATTCTTCCAGCTCCTTGTTAAGAAGGCTGTCCCTGTCCTCTGTGGGGTCCTTGGCACCATCCTCATCACAGACCCATTCCTCACAGCACTGCCCGGTAACTTTGACCAGCCGGGGGTTAGGGCAGCCCAAATTGGGGAGCGATAACTCCTGGGGACACAAAGGAATGCAGCCCACCGCGCCATCGATACATGTGCACTGATGTTTACAGTTGGGCTGGAAACTCTCTCCGTTTTGGTAGATTCTGGAGTTATATTCACAGGGCCTGCCCTCTGACTGAGCTGCAAAGATCATCAAAAAAGAAAAGGAAAAGGTGGATGAAGTCACAATTCCGAACCAAGGCCTAAAACTCACACGTATTTTCTGCTCTGTTAGATTCAATTTATGGTAAAGTTCTCTATAATTCCCCGGAGACTCCAGACCAGAACAATAAGTTAGTCAGGAATCACTTTTCCGTATGCGCTTTTCCTTGGGCCCAGACACACTGAATTGCATTCCAGACTGCTGAAATCATGTGCCTTTCTGCCAAGCTACCAACAACAAAGCATCACCATACATGGTCTCAAAATTACTAAACTTCTGGACTACGGGGACTATTATTTTTTTAAAGGGGCCAAACCACAAGCATCTTACCTCTGCAGATCCCCTTCAGAGCGGTAGAGCTGGCGCCGAAATTGCATTCCAGCCCCTTGGTGTGGTCGCAAGGCTGCGTTTTGCTGCAGTCCTCGTTGAGTTGCTTGGCGCAGACCTTACAGCAGCCGCAGCCGTCCCAGACCAGCCCGACGCCCGGGGCGCACTTGGGCGCCTCCAGGGGGCAGTGGCAGGCAGCGGGGCAGGTGGCGAGAGCCTGGAGGGGGCAAAAGAAACGCGTGAGACTTGGAGAGGTGCTCAGGGAAAGAACCCGGAGTCTCTGACCCTGAGGACAGGCAGTCTGTGATCTTGTCCAGCCGGGTCACCTCCTCCGGCAGCTGCGCCCATCAGGAGGCCCCTCGACACGTCTTCAAGGGGGAGCTTAAAGCAACAGCTACAACAAAATGCCCCAAACCTTGGAGGTTAGCTTTTCCTCCCGCAGGCAATCGGGAGAAAGGGGAAGAAGTGGGAGAGCAGAGGGAAAGGCAGTGGGCAAAAAGAATCCCAACTCACCAGCCCGGTAAAGTGAAGAAAGATGACTGTGAAGGCGAGCGTCCTGGCCATGCGGGAATTCATTGTGGCGCGCAGGAGGAGCCCGGGGAGAGCGAGGCAGCAAAGACACCAACGCACTGGTGCGCAGCGGCGGGACCCGGAGCGGTAGGGTCGGTGCGGCACGGAGGACGAAGCACCGGTCAGCGGCGCGGGTCGATCAGAGAGCTGGCGGGCTGGCGTCCGGCTCGAGGAGGCGAGAAAAGTGCGAGCGTTACTCGGGGGCGCTCTAGCTCGCGTTCTGCCTAAGCGCCGGGAGCCCGCCTTTTATATGGGCCGGCGCGGGCCCGCGTGTTGCAGTGACGTCGGCACTGTCTGCCGTTCCAGAATTCTCAAACATCTCAGGAATGCTGGTTGGCGCGGGCTGCTGCCAAGCACCTCCCTGGCTCCGTTGCACCTTTTTTTTTTTTTTTTGGTCCTGGACCCGTCAAGAAAACAGTCCGTTTTTTCCACTTTAAAGAACGACTTCTATTGGGGAGGGTTTAGGTGTTTGGCGTTTTTTGTTTGTTTGTTTGTTTTTAAGTGGTGATGTTGATGTGGTTGAAGGGGGGTCTGGGGTATGAGGGAAGACAGTTCAGCACTTCGCCTGGACTAGAAGGGTGGGAGGACCTGAGAGGGAGAAACAAAAGTCTTTTTGTACGGTGATGCCAAGTTGACTGGGCAGCCACGGAAACCTTCATCCAGGAAGGCAGAGAACTGATTGCTTGTTTACAACGAAGGTGAGAGTCAAGTTATCTATTGGGAGAGAACTTGGAGGGAGAGTGTGTCTCAGAGCCAGAAATCTATTTGTGGACTTCAGGGAGACATATTCGGATCAAGTCCCAAAGCTTTGGCATGGTGTTTATTAGCCAAGTTAAGTATATTGCAAATTAATACCATGATTGGTATTTATGAATGAAAAGGGGGAGGGGGATCCACTTCCTCCAACATCTGGCAACTTCCCAGGCAGGGATC